GCCAAAATTGTTGCTCTTTTTGTCTCTTCGATTTCTTGTTAACATACTGTGATTATATATTCTCACTTTCGTATATTAATAAAAAAAAGAAAAGAAAAAAAAAGAAAATGATGGTCTTTCTGAAATAAAAATGCAATTAAATCACTCACTTCACAGGTTGTCAATGAATTTATAAAACATTTATGAAAGTGTGTGATAGCTCAACATATAACAGACAAACAATTCTTCATACACAAACTATAATCTCACCTGTGAACATAACAGGAGAGGGAAAAGGAAATCAGTCAGCACATAAAAGACGAGCATACGGAAGGTTTACAGGAGGAAGTTATTCCTCTACCTCAGCTTACATGATTTCAGCAGCACTTCAGTACAACCGTAACCCCCTTATCTGCTTCTGGCCTCCTTCCCAGACTTCCTATCAGAATTCATAACGGAAGATTAGCTAAATCTGCTCAACTCCACGCAAGGAGACCAGAGGAAATGTATTTTACGCAGTCTGTTTTCTATTGTCTGGAGGATTCGTTTACTTCTGACCATTGAAATTAACAACCGCAGCAGAACTGTAGATAAAGACACAATTAATACTTATATAAGCAATAAGAACTGATGGCATACTTAAATTACAATAATGTAAAAACGTGGAAGCATTTGCTCTTTTCCTCTCTTATTTTGTGCATGAGCAACAACATTGATGAAATAATGTTTGCCAGGTCCGCAAAAATGCCTAAAACAATGTATTATTCATGTCAGGCCAGCAAACGTCAAAGTCACTTAGTAAAGGAAGTTCCTCGTTGTTTTGGTTGTCAAATACCTGCACGTCTATTGACTAAACACATAATACATATATGCAGGACGTCACCATTTTCACACATTTACATTTAAGTCACATACATGAAGACAATAATGATTTGAAGGTTTTTCCCACACAAAAGTCATAATTTTTTAGGCCCCTAAAACACTTTATATTAAACCAGTCTGTTGCAAACATTTCCTAAGATGAAATATTATTATCACTATGAGTGGATTATATGAAAAATGCAATTTGAAAACTGTAATATTTTATTAAAACTGAGTTATGAGTAAAAATCAGCTCTCTGCCCAGTGACAGATATGGATCTGGCTCAGTTAGCTAAGTTTGAATTAAATTGAGTGTTAAAAATCAATCTAACACTTAGGACACTCATTGAAATACTCATTAAAAAACCTGGAGTGATACTCCTTATTAGAAGACCTCTGAATGTTTTGACTTAAACTTAAAACTAAATATGTAGTAATGTAATGTGTGTATTTATATAGCGCATTAATTGTGTAAGGCCCTACACCCAAAGCGCTTTGCAATCAGGATATGAGGTCTCTCCACACCACCACCAGTGTGCAGCATCCTCTTGGATGATGCCACGACAGCCACTGGACTGTGGCGCTCACCACACACCACTTATAGATGGAGTGAAGAGACAGTGATACAGCCAATTCGGTAGATGGGGATGATTTGGAGGTCATGATGGGTAAGGGTCAATGGAGGGAATTTGGCCAGGACACCGGGGCTACCTAAACCCCTAGTCTTTACAAGAAGTTCCATTTTTAATGGCACAGAGAGTCATTATGATTGTATATAGTAATCAATGAGTGACCATACGGTATGGTTCTTTGCCTGACAAAGGGTTAAAAATAATCAGTGAATGGTGTTACTGTGCTTTGCCTTTTGATGGCATCACAGTTTTAAAAAACCACAGTGTTAATAATAAAGTAAATAACATGAAGCATAACTGGTTTTCTTTTATTTCAAGTTCTTGAATTTTCTTTTCCAAAATATTAATTAGGCTACAAATATTTCTAGGCACTTTGTTTGGGCGTTTGTAAAAGTGATTTCTTATATCCATTAGGACCAGGCGACCTGTCATATTCATTCTCAAGCTCCAGATCACAGGAAAGCACACACACACAAACATTAAGGTGCGTTTAGGAATGTCTCCTGATTTGGACGCTTGTTACAGCAAAAATCCACTTTCTAACCACGTTCCTGTTAACATGTGATTGCAAATGGCGTCCTCTAGATGGCGGCCATATCATATGTACTGCTTCAAAGTGCAAACGTCTCACCACAAATTCTGACATATTCGCAATATATTATTGGAAAATAATGCCTTAATTCAAGAATGCAGTCATAAAAATATACTATTGACATTGGTGGACAACATTACCAACACACCAATGAGTGGGTCACTTCCAGAATGAACTGTCACCATTGACTTCCATAGTATTTTTTCAGTCAAAGGCGACCATCAGCTCTTCAGACATTTGAAGAAAGAAACTCATACAGGTTTGGAACAAGTGGAGGATAAATGGTGACAGTTCATTCTGGAAGTTAACAACTCTGTTAACTAAATATAATATTACAGGCCTGTAGCCAGCCTGGTGAAAGGGGTGGTTGTTTTTTTTTTTTTTTTTTTAAAAGTGGACATTTTTGCTGTTATACGCCTCATTTTCTATTTAATTATGAGGTATAAATGCTGACATTTTGAGCACATTTTTGCAGGATTAGCTTGTCACATGGTCAACCACACATCACAAGATTTAAAGAAACATGAAAACAACTCATTTTTTTAAAAGTTATTACATCATATATCATTAAAAAAATAGGAATCTGTTGAAGTTTTAACTTAAAAACTAGTCTGATGTCATTTATTGGGCAAATAACAAACTGGCCAGAACATTCACCTATCCTCATTCAGTATTTGGGAAGTCACACCGAAGCAACAGACAACACATGATTCCACTTGATCTTAAGGCCTTCTTCGATGAGTTATTTTCACAAGTAATTATTATTATTATTATTATTTTTTAATTTAGTATGGCAAAATGGGCATATGTATGGAACAAATTCTGGACCTTTATCAGTGAAAGGTGGGTCTTTCGAACCACCCGAACCACCCCTGCTACAGACCTGTATAAGAGTTTCACACACAGTTACACACAACAGTATTAACAAAGCAAGTCTGCAATCAAATGGGGGTATACACTGAGAACTGGATGCTTTGTGAGTTAATGGAAAACAAAATTGCATAGATCATTGGTGCTGGAAGAAAAGAAAACAACTTTTTCAAGTTTTGACTGACATTTCAACAAATAACATTTACAAATTTCTTGTTTCTGAGAAATCTTATAATACAGTACGCAACATGTATATGTTACAACTTGTCAAGGAAAATCTCAGACTAGACACAGTATTTTTCATGGTAGTTAATGAATAAACAGTAGATTATAAAGATATTTGTTCACTAATGATGCACTTATTTGATCAAAATTACAGCAAATGTTGTAAAATGTTTCCATTGAAATACAACCAATTATTCAGCATCATAACTTTAGTCTTAAATGTAACATTATCTTTCAGAAATCAGTCTAATATTAAGATTTGCTGCTTAAAAATTTACAATTACTTTGAATGTTGACAACAGTTGTAAAGCTTAATATTTCTTGTGGGAACAAAATAAAAATTTTATTAATTTTTGGATGAATAAAAATGCAAATAACAAGTGATTTGATTTAATATCTTTTGAAAGATAGAGGGGCCTATCATACACCCGGTGCAATAAGGTGCAAGAAGTGTTTCGTGCGATTTGTTGCTATTTTAAGACCAGCGCACATTTTCATGTTTTATGCTACGTTGTTTAAATAGAAAATCCATTTGTGCCACTTTGTGGACTCATGGGTCTGCCGGTCTAGAAAGGAGGTGTGTTACGGACCATTGTTGGCATGTTGCTATTTTGAGGAACAGAAATAGACCACACTGTTGACCAACTGAAAGCAGGTCTAAAGTCGAACGCAGAGCGCGTCAGTTATGCGCTTATGTGTTTAAACGCTCGATGACTTCTTCATCTTGGAGGGCTTTTTTCAGTTTATTCATGACAGTTTGCTTTTGTATAATGCTTTTATTAGTAGTATTTTTAATATATGCATATTTAAGTTTGTTTTAACAAAAACAAGTTTAGATTTGCCCACCTGTCAGGTTTTGGACCATATGGGGCATAAGAACAGGACATGTGTTTGAATATAACTCAGTTGTTTGACCACACTTTATTATTGTTCATTTATTAATTTACTGGAAATCAGAAATGAATTTAGAAATAGTTTTGAAATAAATGTAATTCATTTTATATTCAATAATTTGTGCTTAACAAACAAAATTAAATATGTAGGCTAATGAATGTCTTCAGTGGAGTGCGTACAACACTGTTTCCTTATCCACGAAAGTAAAGGAGTAAAGTAAAGAAAACAAGTAAAGAGAAAGTAAAGAGGCCAAATGGAGGTTGGATCTGATTGGTTTAATGCACCTTATGCTCAAAACACACCCATAATTCATTAAGAGAATAAGCCCAACACTGTTAGATCATGTGCAGAAGGCGGAGCGGATTTTTCCATCCTTAAAATAGCAAAAGTGGATTCGGACATGCCCATAATGCTTTATTAATGCCTTAATGCTAGACTTTGCGCCTAGATTGTGAAAATAGAGCTCTCAAAAAGTCTTGTCACAGTAGCATTTATTTATTAGTTTATTTAAGACATCATGAATGCCTTCACTGTCACTTTTGATCAAATGTAATGCATTTTTGTGGGACAAAACTACAACTAATAATAATAATAAAAAAACACCTGAATAATAACATGTATCTATAATAATTAAAATAATAATTCACCTAAAAATGAAAATGTTCTTATCTGTTCTGTGAAACTTAAAAAAGAGGGTTTTTAAAAATCCTATATAAATAAAAGATTAAGCACAACAGCACTGAAAACGTGCTTCTTTTGAAATCAGCTCTAGCATAGAGCGCTTTTCACAGTAGAATGAAGTCCCATCAAAAACAACAAACATATTGGGTTTAAATACTAAGGTAGATTCAGTCACTCAGAGAACGCTACTGTAAAGTAAGTGCATATAGATATATATATATATATATTACATAATCTGTGCTAATAACTATTATTATTGCATAAGGTTTAGATACAAAACATGTATAGTTTCAATCAAAGTGCTTTAGTGTTACAGTGAATGGTAGGTTGTTCTGTACAAAAGTAGAGGTCTACATTAAATAAAAAAAAAGTTATTTTTGGTAAATAGACACGGAATGTTCAACGCATGCATGTGAAGTAGCAGGAGTTCAACTTTTCCCTTGTCGCTTGAGAGTTAAACACCCTCTGGTTTTAATAAAAGAAGATCCATGCTGTTTTTCCTCAGCACTATTCCCATGGTGGTCACAATAAAAACAGGCAGCCATGAAAACGAATGCCGCTGGGTCCATTTCTATAACAAGCATCATTTGGTGTGTTGGATCTTCCTTAAAGCTGCGTGTCGATGTGCATTCGCTCTGATACCTGAAACTGCAATGGCGGGAACGCAAAGTCCCGTGCTTCAGGCTGCTTTCCACATCTGGTCTGATGTTAATACTTAAATCCTCCACACAGATCTCAGGTCTGCTGTACCAGTTGGCGGTAGTGAGGCATGACTTTACTCTCCGGAAGATAAAGTGCCATTTCCAGCGCGACCAAAATGGTGAACTCAAAAGCAATCAGTTCCCGACGGCTGATCCGAAATCTCTCCTCCAGTTTCTAAAGGGTAGAGATAAAACAAACAGATGTGTACAAAATGATTAGGCAAGACAAGTTTATTCATAGCACTTTTCAAACACAATGGTAATTCAAAGTGCTTTACATAACCAGGAATAAAAAAAAAACAAGTATAAGAAATTAAAGAATGAAAATTATTAAAAAAAAGAATTAAAATGTGTCAAAACAGGTTACAAAAGAATGAAAAAGAAAAGAAAGGCATAACAGTGCGATCTGTCAGACGTAGCACAGTGCTTATTCGGAAACGGCACAGCTAAGAAGATGTGTTTTAAACGATGCCTTTACACTTGGTTTAATTGCCTGGACCGTATCCAAATTCGATGGTCCTCGTTTGGTTTGTGTTCACACCGTGTTTTTTTCTTCTGAACCCCTGTACGCTTGCGTCATCGAGCTGCTGTTGTGTGACGGACATGAAAGCCAAAATGGAAAGATGTACGCACATCGCGGTTGTTCTTCTTTTATTGATTCTTTTGGTTTTGGACATACAGTTTGGACATACATGCCCTGGCTGAGTCCCGCTTGTCTCCAAGGAACGGTACATTGTACACAGACACACACAGACAGACACACACAGACAGACACACACACACACATACACACACACACACACACACACACACACAAACACACACACACACACACACACACACACACACACACACACACACACACACACACACACACACACACACACACACACACACACACACACACACACACACACACACACGAATGAACGCTATAAAAGTGATAGTTTGCTGTTCTGTTGGTGGTTTGATTGCATTTATACCAGAAGTGAACTGGACCAGCGTTCACGTGTGCCCCAGATACAAGTGGACTTGGGTAAGGTTCATGGGTTTAGAAGACACATGCACACTAGCTAAATGTGCCATACCTTGACATCAAACAAACCCGGGTGAGGATCAAAAGTGCTGAAAGCACCCTAAGTCTTGATTTGAACGTGCCTAATGTTGAAGCACATCTGATCATTTCTGGAATTAGCACTGTAAAATTTGTAGTCTTATTTTTATATTATATTATATTATATTATATTATATTATATTATATTATATTATATTATATTATATTATATTATATTATATTATATTATATTATATTTGATTATATTTAATTATATTATATTTAATTTGATTATATTTGATTAATTATACTATATATTTGATTATATTATGCTATATTATATTTGATTATATTTGAATAATTATATTATATATTTGATTATATTATGCTATATTATATTATATTATATTATATTATATTATATTTGATTCTATTTCATTATATTATATTTGATTATATTTGATTAATTATATTTTATATGTGATTATATTATGCTATATTATATTATATTATATTTATTTATATTATATTTGATTATATTTGATTAATTATAGTATATATTTGATTATATTATGCTATATTATATTTGATTATATTTGATTAATTATATTATATATTTGATTATATTATATTATATTATATTATATTTGATTATATTTAATTATATTATATTTGATTATATTTGATTAATTATACTATATATTTGATTATATTATGCTATATTATATTTGATTATATTTGATTATTTATATTATATATTTGATTATATTATGCTATATTATATTATATTATATTTGATTCTATTTAATTATATTATATTTGATTATATTTGATTAATTATATATTATATTATATTATATTATATTATATTATATTATATTATATTATATTATATTTGATTATATTTAATTATATTATATTTAATTATATTATATTTGATTATATTTGATTAATTATACTATATATTTGATTATATTATGCTATATTATATTTGATTATATTTGAATAATTATATTATATATTTGATTATATTATGCTATATTATATTATATTATATTATATTATATTATATTATATTATATTATATTTGATTCTATTTCATTATATTATATTTGATTATATTTGATTAATTATATTTTATATGTGATTATATTATGCTATATTATATTATATTATATTTATTTATATTATATTTGATTATATTTGATTAATTATAGTATATATTTGATTATATTATGCTATATTATATTTGATTATATTTGATTAATTATATTATATATTTGATTATATTATATTATATTATATTATATTTGATTATATTTAATTATATTATATTTGATTATATTTGATTAATTATACTATATATTTGATTATATTATGCTATATTATATTTGATTATATTTGATTAATTATATTATATATTTGATTATATTATATTATATTATATTATATTTGATTATATTTAATTATATTATATTTGATTATATTTGATTAATTATACTATATATTTGATTATATTATGCTATATTATATTTGATTATATTTGATTATTTATATTATATATTTGATTATATTATGCTATATTATATTATATTATATTTGATTCTATTTAATTATATTATATTTGATTATATTTGATTAATTATATATTATATTATATTATATTATATTATATTATATTATATTATATTATATTATATTATATTATATTATATTATATTATATTATATTATATTATATTATATTATATTATATCATGAGACTCTTATAGGGCGATAATCTATTCTCAAAGTTGGGTTGGGAGCTCGGTCTATTCTACGCAAGCTATGATGACTTTCACCTTGATAGTTTAGTACGGATGTATACCTGACTGCTAAGCGGTCTGACAAAAAAGTGCCCTTCTCAATCAAATCAGCAGGATGCCCTTCTGGATCTTTCTCTTACTTCGACGACACTACTGACTACGCTTACATGAACATCTGTAGTCTAGTTATTTGCCTTAACATACATCAATATAATTAAAGTGTTTACGTGAAGTGCTTTCATGTAAGAGTTTCCTGTAATTTTGGGTGACTTTAACTGCAGTTCGGCAGTTTCACTTTAACTCATGAACATTTCATTCATGCACCCTCGTGACAAACTAGGGTATTAGACGCAAATAAGGAGTAAGCACTGGTGAGAGTGTTATGGAATTTGATACCCAATCTTTTTTTTTTTAAACCAAATCTACCAAGTTCATTTAAATGGCCTAATTGCCACAATCTAGCCCTTTAAATTGCACTTTAAGCTGAACACTTGTAGCTTAAAATAACTAGTAAAACATGATGTACTTACATCATGACAAAGACATACTTTTAAACTTAATGTTATTAAATGTTGTTAAAAAACTTTCATTTAGAGCTGCTAGTAGTTTATTTTATATAAAAAGTTGACTTGCTGTACACACCCAAGGGACATATATACACATGAGAATAACTTCATTGCTTTTTCTCTCAGCAGTCAGGTGTGACTCCTTTTTCCAGAAAATTGTTATTATGATTTTAAATTAGCAGCCAATACAGAATTTTAAAGTATTTATTTTACTTTATCAGCAGTATGTCTCTTTATCACATGATTGTTTACATTTTAACACATGATTCGGGATTTCTGGAGCCTCATGTGACTTGTAAGACTGAAGAAATGAGTCTGGAGGAATGATAAACACTCAGCTTTACCAGCCAAGGAACAAATCACATCATATAATGATAATATTAGTAATCATTTTTAAGTTTTACTGTCAAATAAATTCAGCCTTGCTGATCTCAAAATTCCAAAAATGTTAGAAAAAAATATACTCACTCAAACTTTTGAAAAAACAAACAAACAAAAAACAAAACACAGTTGAAGACTAAATGATTGGCCCTCCTGTAAAATTACAAATCTTTTTCAATTAATTTCAAGTGCTGTTTAATAGAAAGAAGAATACTTTTCCAACACATTTTAAAGATTAGTTTTAATGATGGGCGAGGCAGTGGCGCAGTGGGTAGCATGTTTGCCTCACAGCAAGAAGGTCGCTGGTTCGAACCTCGGCTAAGTTGGTGTTTCTGTGTGGAGTTTGCATGTTCTCCCTGCCTTCGTGTGGGTTTCCTTTGGGTGCTCCAGTTTCCCCCACAGTCAAAAGACATTTGGTACAGGTGAATTGGGTAGGTTAAATTGTCCGTAGTGTGTGAATGTGTGTGTGGATGTTTCCCAGAGATGGGTTAATGTGTAAAAACTTGCTGGATACGTTGGCGGTTTATTCTGCTGTGGAGACCCCAGATTAATAAAGGGCCTAAGCTGACAAGAAAATAAATGAATGAATAGTTTTAATGACAAATTTCTCAGCTCTTTTGTCTTTGCCATGATGACAGGACAAACTATTTTACTAGTTATTTTGAGATATTGGTATTCAGTTTAAAGTGCAATTTAAAGCCTTATACAAGTTAATTTGTTTAACAAGGCAAGTCATTGGACAACAGTGGTTTATTCAGTAGACAATAAAAAAAAATAAAAAAAAAATAAAAATTCTTAAGGGGCAAATAATATTGATCTTTCCAGTTTTTAAATTCATTCATTCATTTTCTTGACGGATTAGTCCCTTTATTAATCCGGGGTCGCCACAGTGGAATAAACCGCCAACTTATCCAGAAAGTTTTTATGCAGCGGATGCCCTTCCAGCCGCAACCCATCTCTGGGAACCAACCACACACACACATTCACACACACACTCATACACTATGGACAATTTAGCCTACTCAATTCACCTGTACCACATGTCTTTGGACTGTGGGGGAAACCAGAGCACCCGGAGGAAATCCACACGAAGGCAGGGAGAACATGCAAACTCCACACAGAAACGTCAACTGAGCCGAGGTTCGAACCAGCAATCCAGTGACCTTCTTGCTGTGAGGCGACAGCACTACCTACTGCGCCACTGCCTCGCCCAGTTTTTAAATATTGCTTCAAAATTCTAGATAAAAAAAAAACTTTTTTACAGGTAAAACAGAAAATACTGTGAAAATATCCTTGCAAAATTTCACAGGATGATCATTTTGGCTTCAACTGCATGTGTGCAGACTGTAAAGACTCACGTCGATCAGCTGTTTGACCTCTTGTTTTTTCAGGTCGCTGCTGATCTTGGCAGCGAGCAGCAGGCACGCGGCCGCCACCAGCTTCCTGTTCTGCTTGTTCAGACGTCCCTGCAGGACCAGCTTCTCAAAGTACACAAACGCCATGGCTATGGTGACCGGCTGCAGACAGGACTCCTCTCCCACCAAACGGATTTCTCTCTTCAAACTGATAAAGTGAGGGAGTGAAAATAATAAGGAGATGACAAAGACATGAACAAAACATCATATTTGTGCACTATTGTAAGTTTAACTCAGTGACCTTTAAATGCACATCATTTTCTGATTAAGGTCCAAATTTTAGGAAATGCACTACACTGGAAAAAAGCCTCATTAGATCAACTTAAAAAAAAAATTACTACAACTTTTTACACCTAAAAGAAAGAAGATGACGCTTTTCCAACTTATTTATCACTGAAAACCATAATAACTTAAGTGGAAATTAATTCATTCATGTAGTTTCCACTTTTTACAGTGTAAGAACAGAAGTTTTTCCCCTTTTTATTTTTATTTTTTTTACAATTTTGCTTACAGATCCCCCCGGCCCCCACCCCCCCTAAAAAAACTTCTAAATGAAGAAAAAAAATCTGCTAAATCCTATTCTTTTTTATAATTGTTATTTTTATTCATGTCAGGCCAGAAATTCGCAATAAAGGAAATGAAACACTACGCATTAATGTTCGATCAATAACTAAGTTTATATGTGAGTGAGTGTGTGTATACCTTCTGATTTTGCTCAGCGTGAGCTTGATGTGGGGAAATTTTTCCTTAAAAGTTTCATTCATGTCTTTCTTCAGATCTGATGGTTTGACGTACTCTATTACTGTCGTCTGTGAGCGAACCACAGCCAGAGATAAAGAGAGAGAGAATGAGAGAGAGAGGCCGTAAATACTGAGAATTTACATTAGTCAGATATGCAGCAATGAAAAGAGATTTGAATGAATTAGAGTGCACATGTGTGTCATCGGTATTATCCAGTGGTCAGCGATGAAGTCAGTAGGGTAGAGTGTGTTTATCTGTGTCTGTAGGTCAGACATGCTGCTATCAGAGTCATATACATACTCATATGCAAATACATATTCAGAGCAAACTTATGTTCTGACACAAGAAACAAGTCAGAATTTGCTGCATTAAACATCTAAACACACTGTGAAAAGCTAATTGGCTGAGCTGCTGATTATAATGCAAGATTCACAGAAAACTTTTAAATACAAGTCAAGATGAAAATGGGGGATAAATGTATAAATATACACTCTGAAAAAAAATAGTACAATATTGTACCAAAGAAGGTACAAATCATTGTCACTGGGGCAGCACCTTTTTATGGAACAGAATTGTACCTTAAGGCAAAGAAACAAATTTGTTCCACTGCAGTTTCTACCTTTAAAGACATGATTTGTACCATGGGAAACAATAATGTACCTTTGTGTTTTAAAACCTGCAGATACAATATTGTACCTTCTTCAAAAGAACAAATCTGATCCATGAAGGTACCACTACAGTGACAAAACACTTTGTACCATAACGTTTTTTGTTTTACCAGTTGTTTTGCATTATAAAACTTAATAATGAATATTTATGAGTTTCTTTAAACATATACAGTTGAAGTCAGAATTATTAGCCCTCTTAAATTATTAGACCGCTTGTTTATTTTTTTCCCTAATTTCTGTTTAATGGAGAGAAGATTTTTTTTCAACACATTTCTAATCATAATAGTTTAAATAACTCATTTCTAATAACTGATTTATTTTATCTTTACCATGATGACTGTAAATAATATTTTACTAGATATTTTTTCAAGACACTTCTATACAGCTTAAAGTGAAATTTAAAGGCTTAACTAGGTTAAATAAGTTAACTAGGCAGGTTAGGGGAATTAGGCAAGTTATTGTATAACAGTGGTTTGTTCTGTAGATTATTGAAAAAAATATATAGCTTAAAGGGGCTAGTAATTTCGTCCCTAAAATGGTTAATAAAAAATTAAAAACTGCTTTTATTCTAGCCAAAATAAAACAAATAAGACTTTCTCCAGAAGAAAAAATATTATCAGACATACTGTGAAAATTCCCTTGCTCTGTTAAACATCATTTGGAAAATATTTAAATCGAATATATAAAATATATAAAAATCGAAGGGGGCTAATAATTCTGACTTCAACTGTATATGATGATTCATGTTTTAATATGAAAATTATTCATAAAATCACTTTGCCTTTTAAGTAATATTTATTTTCATAGATATTGTAAAAAAGACAGTTGTTCGACACTTTTGTATCTTTTATATTAGAACAATTGTGTACTTTTATTTCAATTGTATCATAAAAGGTAGAGAACAGTAGGAGGTATTTTATTTACCATATAAGGTACAACTTTTACAAAGGTACAAAATTGTTCCTAAGTTTTTGAAAATTATTTGTACCATAGTTTCTGAGAATGTACAAAAAAACCCTTAATCTCATCTTGATCATTAAATATTATGTACAGTCATACCTTAGGGGAATTAATTATTTTGGACTTGACTGTATATATATAAACAGTTGAAGTCAGAATTATTAACCCCCTTTGAATTTTTGTTTTGTTTTTTAAATATTTCCCAAATTATGTTTAACAGAGCAAGGGAATTTTCACATGTCTGATAATATTTTTTTGTTCTGGAGAAAGTGTTATTTGTTTTCTTTCAGCTAGAATAAAAGTGCCTAATGCCCCTAACCTGCCTAGTTAATCAAATCAAGCTAGTTAAGCCTTTAAATGTCACTTTAAGCTGTATAGAAGTGTCTTGAAAATATCTAGTCAAATATTATTATTATTACTGTCATCATGGCAAAGACAAAATAAAGTTATTAGAAATTAGTTATTAAAACTATTATGTTTAGAAATGTGTTGAAAAAAATCTTCTGTCCGTTAAACAGAAATTGGGGGGAAAAAATAAACAGGGGGCTAATGATTCAGGGGGGCTAATATATATATATATATATATATATATATATATATATATATATATATATATATATATATATATATATATATATATATATATATTAGGGCTGCACAATATATTGTTTAAACATTAATATCGCAATGCGCATGTTTGCAGTAGTCACATCGCGCAGTACATGCAATATTGAGTTTATATGTTGGGACTATGAGCAAGAGCCATAATTTCAAAAACATAAGATTTAGCCATGATAAAAGTTTCTCATCTTTTAATAATAATACCTGTGACTTTGCATTTGGGCACAAAAAACTGCACCTTTTGTAATTTTAATAAATATTTATTTTATTTAACTATTTACAATGAAGATTATGCAGTGTTTTTACATATGATTATTACATTTCTGTACCTGAATACTGTTTGGCTTCTCAGAAAACTATAAAGCACTGTAAATTCCATTTTTAATTTATTGCTTTATTGTATTTATATATGATTATATTTTATGCATGATTTACACCCAGAATATTCTCAAATCTGTCTAAATTAAAGAATTCTTTTCAAAAAGAGCTTATCAAGCTATCTGGTGAAATAATATTCATATTGGAAAACATAATGCTAAAAAACAAAATACCACAATGTCATATATAAATAACAAAACAATCATATTTTAGAAATGAAGAACGATTGTCATATTTAATTTCTACATAAAAAAATAAAATAAACGGCTGCATTTCAGTGATTGCTATTTTAATGTAATTAATAATATGCTAAACTGATAAAAAATATTATAAACGTCCAATAACAGTGTATGGTATTTAAAATATAACATTCAAGTATATCTGAATTAACAAAATAAATGATCCTCATGCATGTAATGTGTATGTGTGTTTGTTATATAACAAACACTACTTTAATAAAACAAAAAATATGATGATAATAATAATAATAATAATAATATAAAAATATTCCATAAAGTATAATAATAATAACAAACTATATTATTAATATTATTTTCACAAAATAAATATAATATTTGCTGTAATTCTTTCCACATGGACCTAAAACATTTTTCGAAAGTAATAGTAATGTATAATATTACTATTTCATTTATTATATTATATTATATTATATTATATTATATTATATTATATTATATTATATTATATTATATTATATTATATTATATTATATTATATTATATTATATTCCTCCACCTTACCATGTATGAGGCAAAGATGAGCACTCTTTTATGTTTTCCACATGGCCACTGGGGGTCACTGAGCATATTAGGGTCATAATCAGAGTCTTCAAGACCTGAAAACACACACACACACACACACACACACACACACACACACACACACACACACACACACACACACACACGCAAGAAAAGTTTTCAGTCAAACCTCAGACCACAGAACTTAATGTGACACGTATAAGTGTGACAGCTTTCTGCACTGACCCAACAAGCACAAGTTCAGCTAAAAATGAAATAACTGTCATCTGGAGAGTGAGTGATGACACAATCTTTATTTTTGGCTGTACTATCCCTTTAAGACGACACTTATACTCAACACAATTAGTGACACACACTGGGCTGACACAAGTGTAGCTAATGCAGACTTGCTAAATAAAAAGAGCTGAAAGAGCTTGGTGACTCACACACACACACACACACACACACACACACACACACACACACACAAACACACACACACACTAGAGAATCCAAGAATAGCTACATTAGTAATTATGACACACACTTTCACACATCTGTGCCTGGAATACTGCGATAATAAGCGTGTCCACCGAGTTGATTGAAATGTCTCTGCCCACTCTTTGAATAATATAGCATTAAACCTTTATTAAGCTCCCATCGGTGACTAGTACACACTTCTTTGTCTGTTGTGGGGGTGCACTTTTGCGTGCTTCTGTGATTTAATTTCACATGAACGACTGTGAATTTTAGCGTGCGCAAACACAGTCCAGAATTAGCTTTAAAATGCTTTTGCAACACACACATCTAAAGTCTGACAAAGTGAAAAAAGGTCACAAGAAAAAGTAACAGATGTTTTCAGATTCCAGAGTGCCCAAGATTTAAGTGGTTGCAGAAATGAGTGGAGTAAGTGCGCACTCGTGTGTATGTGTGACTGTTTTGTTACATGGACTAAATATTTAACAATGTTGTTTTGGTGCTCTTGGATGTGGTGTGATAGATATAGCAGAAAATAAGCATGAACAAACATCAGAAAAATATGAAATGACACTTTATCCCTGAGAAACTTCTTTGGTATTATTGTATTTATGTTGTTGACATGTTTTACATGCTGAGTAATTACACGAAGGAGCAATAAAAAAAAAAAAAAGAAATAAAACGTAATCAAAAATATACACTGCCTGGCAAAAGTCCTGTCGTCTATACAAGTTTTAGGAAGAACATATAATAACTTGACTTCTAGTTGATTATTTGGCATTAGAAGTGGCTTATATAAAAGGCAAAATCCCCTAGATTACACTTAATTTACCAAAATAAGATACGATCATGCCTTGATTTCTATTTTTTAATTAGGACAGTGAGGTCTGTCTTTGCTTGGAATAAATTCTTGTTACTTAACAGAAATAATGTACAGTATGGCATATAAAGTCATGGTGCCTCTGGGTGCTCTGGCTACCCCCATAAGCTAAATTGGCCATAGTCTATGTGTGTGAATGGGAGTGTATGGGTGTTTCCCAGTGATTTTTTTTAACATAAATTTGTTTTTACATTTTTTATTTTCAACACTCATTACTGCCCATGTTCATTCCGTTAAGTAAAGTTTCACAAACTAATTTCAAGAGAAGCACGTGATTGTCATGGTCCTGACCTGGCAGTCCTGTCTGTCCTGTCAGTGTTTATTTATTGCCTGTTTGTCCTGTGCTTATTTACATTGCTGTGTCTTAATTTGTGTTGGTCATGTGCTCCTCTTGTCTTTCCTCCTTGTTTTCAATTACCCCGCCCTCTAATTTAGACCTTGTTATCCTGCTTATTTTTACCCGTCTAACGTGTGTTTCGTTCTATATAATGTGCTGTGTGTTCTCAGTTATTAGCTTGTTTGTTCCACGTGAGCTTGTCTTGTATCCTTGCCTTGTATCTTTACTGAGCTTTTGGTCTTGCCTATTTTAGTTCACTTGTCTACTTATTGTTTGTTTGTAACTACTACTTTCTTTTGTTTGTTTCTAGTATTTACTTCATTTTTCTGTCAGTCCCAGTCTTATTAGTAGTGGATTATTATTTGTTGTTTGATTTGTTTAATTACTTTCTTTAAGATTCTAGAAGTCTTTAGTTTTGTTTTATCAGATTGCCCAAGTCAGTCCATCTCTTCTAGTTTTTATATTTGATTTTATTTTAGATTTAGTTTTATTATATATTATTGCTGCATGTTTGCTTCCTGTCTTATTTCCCAGTCCTATCCTGTGTCCTGACCTCCCTGGTCTGCCAGTCTGGAGTTTATGTGGCTTGCTCCATGATGGTTTTGATCACTGTTGTTCCTACTCCTGGCTGGCTGTTCATTTTTGGAACCATCTTGTCTCTACCACTGGCTTCCCTGTGATGTTGCCCCTACCGTTTGGACCTTGTTATTCCCTTGTCTGTCTACTTGTGCCTTATTCTGTCAATAAACCCCTTTGTATAGTTCATTGCTGCAACTGGGTCCTTTTTCTAGCAACCAACCTTGACAGTGATCTGATTGATCGTGGCTGTTGTCCCATCCGTAATCATTAGTAAGCCAAACAAATGAATCAAAATTCATTATAAATAGCCCCTCTAGTATTACTCCCTCATCTTTGTTATTTAAAAAATCCCCCTGTCCACCCTATCTCCTCCTTTTACCAGGCAGAGCTCTTGAGAACTACCTGATCTCGTACTCCCTTACATGCTCATCAACCAGGTGGGAGTCCTGGGCTCAATTAACTTCCACCTCAGGGTTCTCTCCTGGGACAGCATGCCAAACCTTCTAATATTATCAAGCAATATCTAAGTGTGAACTCTTGAAACCATCTTTACCGAATAGTATTAAAGAGATCTACTAATGTTAGTTCTACTAAAGAGTTCTATTAAAAATTAGGGCTGCTCGATTATGGGAAAAATCATAATCACGATTATTTTGGTCATAATTGTGATCCCGATTATTCAAAACGATTATCAGCTGAAGTCAAAATAATTCGCCCCTCTGAGAATTTATTTTCATATACAAATATTTCCCAAATTATGTTTAACAGAGCAATTTTTTACAGTATTTCCTATAATATTTTTTCTTCTGGAGAAAGGCTTATTTTTATTTCAGCTAGAAGAAAAAACGTTTAAATATTTTAAAACCTTTTTTAATAGCTCAATATTATTAGCCCCCTTAAGCAATATATATTTTTGATTGTCTGCAGAAGAAACTACTGTTACATAATGACTTGCCTATTTACTCTAATTAAGCCTTTAAATGTCACTTTAAGCTGAATACTAGTATCTTGAAAAATATCTAATAAAATATAATGTGCTGTCACCATAGCAAAGATAAAAGAAATCAGTTATTAGAAATTAGCTATTAAATCTGTTTAAACTGTGTTTTAAGCATCTTCACTGTAAGAAAAAAACGTCCTTCAGTCAAGAGCAGCGAGTGGATTTTGTCCTTTTGTTGTTTGATTAATAATAAAAACAGCAGCAGGAATATCGCACGCTGTCACTTTAAGAATAGTGAATAGCTCCGATATGGTTTCTCTTTCACGTGTCTTTTTGATTCTCAACTTGTTTGTTTATTACACAAATGAGGATTAATATGAATAATCACTAAACAACGTGCATATATTGAACATTAAAGCACTCGCATTAGGATGGCATTAGATGTGCGTGTGCTGTCTGAGGCTAAGCGCGGACCGCGCGCACACAGTCACACACAAGCACACACACAATACCTGTCCGAGGCTAAGCGCAGCGCGCACACACACACAACAGTACGTGCTCTTTCGCGATTTTAAAAAATATGAATGATGCGCATCCCATGCTGCAAAAGTTACATTACAGCACATCTTTCAGTCACTTTCACGTGGAACTGGATATAGGCGGTATATGATGGAATAATCGTTTATCTCGATTAATGGTTTTTCATAATCGTTATGAGCTGTAATCGAAACCGGATTTTCGATTAATTGCACAGCCCTATTAAAAATAAATTCTGCCATTGTTTTCTTATCATCTACTTGTTCCAAACCTGTTTGAGTTTCTTTTGTTAAACTTCTGGGTAAGCTAAATTGGCAGTGTATGTGTGAGATTGAGTGTGTATGGGTGTTTCCCAGCGATGGGTTGCAGCTGGAAGGGCATTCGTTGTGTAAAACATACGCTGGATAAGTTGGCGGTTCATTCAGCTGTGGCGACGGCAGATAAATAAAAAGGGACTAAGCTGAAAGTGAGGAAATGTTCATTTTTGGATGAGCTAACCCTTGAGTATTCATTTCCCAATAATGAAAACAGCAAACAGGTCTTCTTACAGAATAAAAAATCATTGTGTCTACTAAAAAGCTCCAGAATGTTGGTGTTTGTGTAAGTGTATCATACCCAGGTCCAGTCCGACGGTGCTGTTGAGGCGAGAGGACGGATAACTGCGAGGGATGCTGTTTCTGGAAAAGGGCAGGGGTAGAGTCAGATCCACCGAGGGTTTGTGACGATCCAGAGCATTAGTTGGGTACAGGAACTGAGCGTACGACACTGTCTGTACAACAAACAAGAGCAGAGAACAAGCCATCTATCAAGCTGAGACATCCTGACAGCCACTTTAACCTCCCGGGTGCATCAAATAAAGACATACATAAAGCTGTCATTCCTGAGCAGGTCGACTCTCTGACTGACTGAAAGCTTCAGAGACAGGATGAAAGACTCTTACCCTGCCGTACAGGCCCAGCTCCACACCCTCCAGCCCGGGAAGCATCTCTAGAGTGGTGGAGATCCCTCCCGACGAGTGTCTCCTCCGCTGAGCATCCAGAAGTGGGTCACTGACACAAACACAGGGACAGATGCTTATTTTCAATTGTTGAATTATTATTATTATTATTATTATTATTATTAATAATAATAATAATCATAATAATAATAATAATAATCAAAAGAAAAAGGATGCACAGACATTGATGTAAAATATTATTTAAAACAAAACATAATATGGATTAATCTTCACACGACTTGCATTTAAATAAAATAAAAACACAGGAAATGTTCTTGTTGTATTTTAAAATAATAACATTGTAAGCAAGACTTGACATTAACTTTTTTGACCACCAGTCAAACTACCACTGTGGCTGGTAGTTTTTCAACGTTACTGGCCACTTGCCATTTTCACTAGCCACAGTTTTGTTGTTGAGATATATATACAGGGCTTTACATTAACACCCCCCAAATGCGGGTAGATTTCGGCGGTGGAATGTAAGACAGACACTCCTACTAGCCACTGTGGCTGATTGAAAATAATTTTCCCAGGTTATAATTCTTAAAAGCAGGGTTCGACAATAAGGATGGTCCAATATGCATGCACAGGCGATCGAGAAGCAACACGACTGACAAAAATAATTGCGTTCGCAACTTCGCGCGAGCAAAGCAGGTGAATACCGAATAAGAGGATAATCACTCGCGCTAACAGCTGATGGTGATGCACGCGACTGTTTATAATGCGTGCGCGCTCCCGTTTCCTTTTGTGAAGCAACTGTGTCTAGAAACACAACTGATGCGATCGATTCTCTTTCAAATAGACTAAACAAAAAGGTAGAAACATGCACCTACAGTCTTGCTGCTTTCAAGAGTTCCAGAGTTGACTTATTGTAAGCAGCGCCAGTAGCTTTCGGTTTAACCATTCTTTGAAAAGATAATTTATGGGTCTATCATTAACCATGCGTGTGTGATCATCCTTTCATTATCACACAGTATGTTTTTTACCCGCTTTCTTTTGCATTAACATGGTTTAATTATCATTTTATTTACAATTACATTGCTTTAATGGAAGAATAACTCCCCATTTATGTGTAGTTAACTGGTGATCTGTGACCTTTAGCCAGGACATATGACTATGCATATGTTTTGTTAAATAAAAATTATAGTATTCAGCTATATTTCCATGTTTTCACACATTTAAAATTTGTGGCTAAGAAATAATTAACTGTTTATTTATGGTGTGGTCAGAGATAAATTGGGTAAATCCTTCATTTTGGGCTCTGAAAATTATGAAAACTAATTGTAATATATGAAACCCTGACCCATTTGTTCATGATTATTGAGCAAGCTAATACACGGCACACAAAAAGTGAAATGAATAAGGAGGCATGTAGAGATAATTTAAACTCTAAATCAAGTAATTTTAGCATGTCAAACTCATATCAACAAGTAAAGGGTGAGAAAATGATGTCATAATTTTACTATTTAATTTTAGCCAATGTGTGTAAATTGAGCATTTTTTTATGCTCTTCTAAGAAAAACATGCCGACATCTCTGACTTTATTTAGCACTCACCAAGCTGTCCAATCAAATGCTTTGAGGAATTACCCTCCCTAAATAACTTCTAACCTCCACGATTAAAATACACGAAAATCTATAAGCTATTTTCAAATAAAAGCGCTTAAGAAAAACCTTGTTTACAGAAAGACATGTTCATCTCATTTAATTTAACACTGTCTGGTGAAAAAGGCAACAAACAAGTTCCAACACGAAGCCAATTCAATGGTCAATTTTAACTCACCAAATTCAATCCGAGAACTCAATCATCAGGCATTTCCTTCGAGATAGAAGTAAGTACGAGTGTTGTTCCCAGCACACTGCTCTTCATATTTACTCCCTCCAGCATCCCTTATCTACAGACTTACAGCCCTTACATAACATGGCAGTGTAATGTCCATCTCCCAAAAATATGAGGTAAAAGACACAGTTTCCCAATATCCAAATGCTTCTTTAAGCATATCTGTAGCCATAACGTAGAGGGTGGGAAAGAAGAGAGGGTCAAGTTTGTGTCATGCCATGTCCAGCTCCAGGATGTGGGAAAAATTCCTCCCTGCCCTATTCAACTGAATCTAACCCTGAACACGAATCCCCAAGAGGAAAGCAGAGGAACCCCACTGAAGGAACATTCAGCTTAATGCATCTCTCTATGAGTTTATCTTTCTATTTGAGATTTAGGCAAATCAGTGACAGCTATGAATGGTGACGGCTCACAATCGTTCACAAGAAACTATTCGGCTTGTGATTTTAGTTTTCCCACTGAACGATTCTCCATCTGATATGATTCCACCAATGATTCTTTTAGCATAGCTCTGAATAAATGTGAGAACTTTTGAGTTTTAATGTAAAGTTAATCAAACAATAATTTGCTAATCGTGTATTTGTGCTGGTGTTTTGTATCTGTCAAAATATAGAAGATGGTGGCAAGTACTTGTCTTAATAAACGATTCAATGAATCAGCCGTTTAGATCAGGAATTCTCAAACTTTTCCGCCCGCGACCCTTAAAATAACAACACCAGTGACTTGCGACCCCCTCTATGCTCGGAGGTGGTTATAAGCATACAGATATTGCACACAATAGTGCACACACACCAAAAGGAACCATACAAGCTTATTGACAGCACAAAAAAGTTCAACTGTCTATTTTTATAATCATTATTCTTATGTTTAATTTAATTTAATCTCACTTAATGAGCAAAATGTTTATAGCACAAGACTATTCTTGGTTTAACTTTGGAGACTTTAGCAGATTTTCCTCCTTGTTCAGTTGTGGCCTTTATTTTTAATGTATGTGAGTGCCATAAAGTTTAACATTGTACTGTAAAATCAATCTGCTGCAACTAATGCTATTGCGGTGATGTTAATCTAGTTTAATAACCCCAGGGGTCGCAATCCAATGGAAGGTTGATGACTTTATTTGCATGTTTATGTAACTATTAAATATTAAGCATATATATAAGGCATTACAAGTTAAAAACTATTTAATATTCTGCAGGTTATGTGTGAAATGATAATTCTAATGGTTTAATAAAATATGACATTTTTGGAAATCACCAAGCGACCCCCTTCTCATTGTCTTGCGACCCCCCAGGGGGTCCCAACTTGTTTACAACTACTGATAGTCACACACCTTTTTGTTTTACAGCTACCATCTGGATGTACAAAAATTACTATTTAAAAGGATAGTTCACCCAAAAAAGTTTACTTAACCTTGTGTCTGAGCATGAAAGAAGATATTTTGAAGAATGTTCTTATTCTCACTCGTAACCCCTGTCCTCCATAGTAGAAAAAAACATAGTATGGAAGTCAACGGCTGCTGGTATCAACATTTCAGTGTTTGAACTCTCAGTAATGATTAAATCACACTGAACTGAGCTAAACTGAACTGAACTGAACTTAAACACTAAAAAACTGAACTACACTGTTCCAGTTACTATGACCATTTATGTGAAGCTGCTTTGACACAATCTACATTGTAAAAGCGCTATACAAATAAAGCTGAATTGAATTGAATTTTCCAAAATATACAGAAAAAGTAATGTTAAACAAGATTGTGAAAAGTAAAGGTGAATAAGTAAATGATAACAGCTTTGGGTGAACTAACCTTTTAAATAGTAAGAATGTTTTATTTTCTATTTTTATTTTTTTTAGGTAAACTATATCTTTCTGCAACAAACAAAAAAAACGAAAATTTGTGTTTTTCACACAACATTCACACGGGGCGTCAGCGTCAACGTTTCCCAAATACTTAAAATGGGTGATGTCAAGCGTTTCCGTACTGAATTGTCTAACCCTAACCCATGAAGAATTTGGCAATTTCTCAACTTTCAAGCGCCAAAGGAAGCGTCAGCCATATCAGATCACTTTTTTGCAAATTCCCCAGCTCAGATAGTAGCCGTTTGAGAACTTTTTTTATTGGCTGACGATGCTTTGACAATCGCATGAGTCTTAACTTCAGACAGGCGCTTCGTCAAGCGTTGATGCTAAAGCCCCGTGTGAATCACATGTAAGTCATTGTGAATGATATGATGAAACTGAAGTATAATAGTTTTACAAACAATAAATACTGCATATGCATTATAAAATACACCACTCATATGGATGGAGTTATTATAACATACAATAATTTTCTAGAAGTTGTACATTATGCAAGGTAGAAATATAAACATAGTTCCACTGCTTTTACAATAAACATATGTGTAAATGACAGTTAATCCTTTAACTGTAAAATTTAAGTGAATTTAAAAGCACAGAAAATATATTTATCTGTTATGAACAGTGACACACACCTGATTCAAAAGAGGGTTTAGTATGGTTGTAGCATATGTGAAAATTACTGTGATAACTGTGTAACTTGTTTTTATTAATTTTATTTATTTTTATTGTGTTAAACTACACAGTTTATGACAATATTACTTAACAAGGTCTGACGAAAAGTTTTAGCAAAAACTATGATAATATTCTGCCATTCCCAGATAGTGAAGGAGGTGATAGCTTCAATCTTGACATTTACTGGTACCTTCAATCTTTCCCAAATAAACTCCAGTTGTTTTTGCATATGTGGGCAAATTAACAGTTAAATTAGCTTAAGTCAGTTACTGAAAAACCTGTTTTATCTGATTGATGTGTTCCTGTTACGTTGTTGAATGAACAACTATGTCACTGGATACACGTCACATCCTGGCACCCCCCAACACCAGGCTTACCAACCTCTGAAATGTTGCCGGAGCATTGTGTACTCCAAAAGGCATTACTTTATATTGTAAAAAGCCATCAGGTGTAACAGAGATTGCTTTAGCACATGGCATTAATGGCACCTGCCAATAACCAAAGAAAAATACCTTTTCATTTCAATATTCAAGCATGTGTGTGTGTGTGTGTGTGTGTGTGTGTGTGTGTGTGTGTGTGTGTGTGTGTGTGTGTGTGTGTGTGTGTGTGTGTGCGTGTGTGTTCAAGTACCTGATGTGGAAGCTCTCTCCATATGGCAGCACAGAGAAGGCAGCACACAAAGACCTTTTGGCGCATATCAACACGATCCTACAATGTGAACACAAGCTAGTTAACATAGCGCACATTTACCACACATTCACACATAGACAGGACATTTCAACACACAAACCACACAGTAATCTCTCTGTACATTCAGATCAGAAACAAACACAACAGCTGTCACAGCAGAGGGGTCAAACGACAGCCTTAGAAACACATAAATGCCCCCCCCCCCCCCCAACACACACACAAAAACACACACACACAAAGGCAAAACACCTGCACTATCTGCCTCACTGAACACTTCTCTCTCACTTCTGTCACACAAATAGACAGGAAGTGTGGTGAAATTTGGGTAGGCTGTGGATATATGGACTGCATTTTAACCCAAGACATGTGGCAGGGTGGTTAAATGGCAGTTGAGAAGAAACTGATGCTCTGTGGCAGCAGTCTAGAGAATTTTTCTGACATTTCCTTTATCAACGGCTGCATGACAGTAAAGAAATGGCTAGAGAAATGACAGTGACTGTGAGTCAGGGCAATTACGTCAATAATTTTATTGGTTATTTCAGCAACAGACTTTTATTTTTATATCAAGTAGTGCTTTTTTAAATAATTTTCAGGCAGCAGATCTGTTCATGTTGGTAGGATTTGGCTTTTTGAATTGTTTTATTCTTGTTTATACTTCAAGTTTACCTAAATATATATATATATATATATATATATATATATATATATATATATATATATATATATATATATATATATATATATATATATTTGTATAATTATGTATTAGTATTAATTTGATTGCCTTTGCAGATTGATCAATATTGATAGATGGAAACAATCAGTAAAACATCCATTTAGATGTCAACTTTTGCATTACCTGGTCACTTTACTTAATCAACGAAGAAAGCAAAAAAAAAACTAATCATCTCTGAAAAATCAGAGACTAAGCTGAAGAAAAATAAACAAATAAATGAATATCTATTAGCCACAGATTTTTAAGGAATATGAAAAAAAAAAAAAAAAAAAAAAAAAAAAATATATATATATATATATATATATATATATATATATATATATATATATATATATATATATAATATGCCCTATATATAGGGCAAAGCAGTGGCGCAGTAGGTAGTGCTGTCGCCTCACAGCAAGAAGGTCGAGTTTGCATGTTCTCCCTGCATTCGTGTGGGTTTCTTCCGGGTGCTCCGGTTTCCCCCAAAGTCCTAAGACATGCGGTACAGGTGAAAAATGTCAGTTAAGATCCAAATTGTGTTGATATTTCACATAGTTTAGATACATCAGTTTTGAGTATATTTAAAACAGCTTTTTCGTTGGTTCTTTTGAGAGTTACAATCTTTTATTTCCTTTAATTATGAATACAAATAATATATTTATATGAATTTATTACATTTAGCAGTTTATCATAGTTTACTATTGTTATCCACATTAAAAATTATTGGTTAATTAATCAGTTATCGGACAGTACGTTCTAATCGAGTTAGCATAACACATTGTTGCATAGCACATATAACTCGGATGGCAACGAGTAATTTATCAGCCAATTCATTTTTGGTCATTTATAAATATCACTTCAAAGACTTTGCATAGCACACCATCATCAATGATGATGAATTCTGGAATAGTGCTCTATTGTTTCTCACAGTGAACAGTTAATAGCCCACAGCATTAGCTGGCCTTTTTTAGTTATAATACTGAGCATCTGTGTTTATTCCATAGATGAGGTCACTGAACACCAGGATTATCAGGATCGCTGATCATCTACTGTACTGGAAAATATCTTATCAGTTTTATTTCTCCCGCCCTGGCCCTGTCTGTGACCCTGTGAATGTGAGTAGGTACGTGCGTATTTGTGTGTGAAAGCCCAAAGCCTGGGAACACAAGCGGAAAATATGGACCGTGGTCTATTTGGGGCAGTTTATAATGGGACTTTAGTAAACATAGCTCTCATTCTTTGGATGGAATGGGGCCAGATCTCACGGAGAACAACCAGTTCCATTAGAGAACAACACAAATCCCATCCAGTCATTCCTAACGCGGAGCAGACTCTGTGCTAAAGCTCCAATTAATAGATATGCAAGTCTAAAGTCATATCTGATTGTTGGGTTCATTATTGCTGTCATTCTTCAATAAATGCTTCTAAAATAATTTGTGCTGAAAAGTTCTGCTTCAACACATTTCAGATAAGTGTTGTTAAAAAATGTTACATTTTATTATTTGTTTTCTGTTTGGATAGCTTTGAAAATGTATTTCTGTGAAGGTAAAGCTGAAATTCTTCAGTGTCACATAATCCTTAAAGAGCTCATATTATGGGTTTTTAAAAATGCCCTTCCACGTAGTGTGTAACACAGCTCTAAGTGAAGTGAAATATCTAGCTAAGGCTTAAATCTATAAGTGTACAGTGTTTAAAACTGTTGATTCATCTATAAAAGTGTTGACTCATAGTGCTTCAAACGAGTCGTCTTGATAACGAGTCATTGGGTGTTTTGCGATGACGTATCCACGAAACACAAGTAGTTGCGCGCAAACCCGTGAGATTTTAAACCTGCTGCCCCGCCCTCTAACACAGAAAAAAGTCAGACACACACACACACACACACACACACACACACACACACACACACACACACACACTCACACACACTTACACACACACACACACACACACACACACACACACACACATACACACACACACACACACACACATACACACACACACACACACACACACACACACACACTTACAAAGAATTGATCATCGGCCGTTTTTAAAAGGAAGGATCAGTAAAGAGTACTGATGGACTATGTCAGAACATGGATCGGTTTCTTCCTCCATTTCACAAGTGTAAGTATGTGCGATTAAAGTTGTTGTCTCGTTTACTCTAGCTTGCAAATGTATTTAGTTGTGATTTGTTACTTTTAACAACGTGTTCTGTATCAGTTTAACTCGCTATATTCTTATATAGCGTGTAAAGCCACGTTGATACACGAAGCGTGCTGCTTTGTTTACAGACCTCCGAGGAGGAGTGTAATGTGTGTGTTTGTGTGTTGTGTCCTCCTCCGAGTAGGGTAATGTGTGTGTGTCCTCCTCCGAGGAGGGTAATCACCTAACTTAAGATTCGATACGATTCACCATACTAATCTCATGATATGATTTAGTCACAATTTTTAAACTAAATTATTTAAAACAAATTTAAGGTGAAAAGCCCTTTCATTTTTTCCTTAAATGCTGCACATATTTTGTTAAGTAATATATATTACTACCATAACTAATTTGCTATTTTAAAAACAAATAAATAATATAAAAAAGAGTATAATACAAACTAAAGAAGACTCATTAATATAAACAAACTAAAACTGTGACTGTGCTGGGATTTTACATTTTTAAAAGATAATATCAGAAAATCTATGTTTTCTGGCATAAAAATGTAACTACACATCGCAACGATGCGTAGCGCAAGCTCTGTGATTGGTCGGCTTGGTATCGCTGACAAGTGTGGGTGGGGCCTTGAGCCGCGCGAGCTGATGGAGCGATTGTTTACAAGTGTGAAGTCCTGTGAAGGAGCTCCGGATGTTAAGTTTTGTTTTGTGTTTACCTCATGGTTAATGTTGTTGCACGTCTGCCGGTTCCTGCCTCAAAATGAACGAGTTTAAACCATTTGTACATAAATGAAACAAAACAAAAAACAAAAAACAGAAAAAACAAAACACCAGCGAAGAAACTCACAGAGGAACATTAACACCTCACTGCCAACTACCATTTTGGAAATGTTATTGCAGAGCAACAGAAACAGCGCACAGGAGTATGAATGCAAAGCTACGTGCGTTGCATGCATCCTTATTTTAAGACTTTTTATTTAAAAAAACAAATGTTACACACATAATGTTTGCTATGGAATGCAAAAACTTTGAAGCTCAATATCTCAAAATCATTCTGAACGCAGATAGAACCTTATAATTCCAAGGTGACGATATGTGTGGAGTAATCAGTCAATGAGCAGCATCAGCGGTGTGAGTCTAATCAATAGAGATTTGGAGCAGGTGTGTTTGTGTGTGTTGCATGACTGGAACTTGTAGTCCATATACCGTCAGATTTGTAGTTCTCCAGCAAACTGCGTGTTTCCTAGCGATCTGCTAGTGATTCTGTTGTGAATCGCTGGTGTTCACAACAGATATACTTAAGAATAGATAATCTTGAACATTTTAAATATTCAATAATAATAATAATAAGCTAATTATTTAAATACACATAAACTAATTTGAAAAGGAGAGGGCAAAAATAAACTTATACCTGGTTCTGTAACAGAACAACTTTCTCTTTCAGTCTGAAAAAAAAATTCTCTATCTTCTATCTGCTATAAAAACACTGATGCACTGTGTAATCTCTGTAGCACACGTCAGAGCAAGCACAGCTGCAAATCATCCGGTCCACTTGGTTTGGCTTGTTAATAGTTTTTGTGTATAGACGTCTGTGACAGGAGTTTTTCACTGTGCTTTTGTGTTTATGTGCATTATATTCATTGTTCTGTTATTAAACATCATTTTGCAGTATTTGCACACAGTTTGGTGTAGTGTGTGGCGCATTTCACCAAAGTCATTTTACTCTGCCGCCCCTCCTTTTGCCTGCCGCTAAAGTGCAGGTAAAGTGAGTTTGCGCCTGTAAACACAGCATATAAAATGTATTGTGATTCGTTCAACATTTCTATCGATTTAAATAGTCACATATTTTAAGCGATTTTCAACCAGCTCACAGTGAATCGTTACATCCCTAATATTATGATGATCTAAGCTTAATAAGTATTATTAATTTTATTATTAACACTCTTATTGTGATTTTTATTTTTGCAGAAACTGTTATCTTAATCCTTTTATCATTCATCCTCTCTATCTTTTTAAAATTAAAACCATTTTGTTAGACAAAATCTGCCTTTACATTTCAAAGACATGGTCCGTTTGATGAGTACAAGTAGAATGAGTACAAAATGTGTGTTCAATATCTGTGTATAAACTGTCAGATATGATATCCTCCTAACATAACAAATTGCATCATAAAGCAAGTGTAAATGGACTCTTGCCAAACTGAGAAGAGAATGAAGACGATAGGCAGAATGTTTGTTTTTAAGCACAGATAAGGGAAAACAAGACAAGTGTGGGAAAAGCAGACCCACACACACACACACACACACACACACACACACACACACACACACACACACACACACACACACACACACACACACGCACACACACACACACACACACACACACACACCCTGTGCTGTTATCACTGGCATTAACAACTCAAAAAGCCACACACACGCACACAGAGAGGTGAATATACACACCTGCTGCCCCTGGTGTCATACTGCCTCATGTTCTTGATGAAGTGGATTTTCTTCATAGAGCGTGGACGAGGAGAACCAGACGCATTCCGGCTCCTGAGGACACACACAGTTGGGTAAAACAATGAAACACGTTTGAAAATTATGCAGAAAATCATTTAGCCACCCATTCACATTTGGCTTTTGAAGTTTGTTTTTTTTAATCTTGCGAATTGTTTAATGTTAAGTACATTTAACAGTCGCCACCTACTAGTGTAACAATGTAATTGATACATTACAGATTTAGGGCTCTATTTTGACGGTCCATGCGCAGAGCGCAAAACGCAAGGCGCAACCGCTTTCAGGGCGTGTCAGGACGCGTTTTTGCTAATTTAAAGACGGGAAATCTGCCTTGCGCCAGGACGCATGGTCTAAAAGGGTTGAGTTTATTTTCTTAATGAGTTATAGGTGTGTTTTGAGAATAAACCAATTACAGTTTCATCTCCCATTCCCTTTAAGAGTCAGCTGCGTCTCGCCAAGAGCGCATTCACTATTTACAGGACACAAAGTAAGTCTAAGTGGAAAAATGAGCATTTCACAAGCAAACAGTTAACAGTTTTTTAACAGGAAACTGTTAAACAGAGCATCTACTGCGTGAGAATGAGAGATAATGGAACTACTTTCACTTTCGCTCTTGGATAGGGAAACCTTTACGCACAGACATCAATTAGTCTATAAATAAATACTTTCGGTGGTAAGCGCAAATATTCGTTTCAAAACTATTTAAAAATTCAGTTCTAAATTCCAACAAACGAATAAATGAATAATAATAACAAAATGTCTTCAAAAACCTGAGTTATATCCTAAAACACATGCTGTGCCCCATATGGTCTAAAAACTGACAGATGGGCAAATCTAAGCTTGTTTTTAACAAAACAAATATAAATATGGACATAATAAATAATATTGCTAATAATAATAACATTATACAAAAGCAAATTGTTATGAATGAACTGAAAAAGCCTCCCGAGATGAAGAAGACATAAAAGCAGTGATTTTTCATATTTATGTAGGCTAGAAAATAATATGTTTTGTAATGTTTTAATCCTTTATATTTATATTCTATATCTGTTCTTATTATATACTATATATATCCTTAATATTTACATTTTTTCATATGTAAAGATATTTGCCTCTTGCTCTCTTGTGCGTATTAAGCAGTGCGTAAGCGAGTCGCAACTCTGCGCCGGAGTTTAGACCGGGTTTGTTTTGGTCTAATGAAAACTCTATTATAGATTCTCAAAATAGCAACGCGCCAGCGGTCCGCCTCAGAACAACTCCCTTTTTAGACCAGCACGCCTATGGGCGCACAAATGAGCGCTAATGCATTTGCTATTTAAACAGTGTAGCGCAACGCCTCAAAACGACTCTTGCGCCAAGCTGAAACTACCAAAAGACTACTGCGCCACGCCTTGCGCCACACTGCGCCGGGTGTATGATAGGGCCCTTAGTGTTATCCTCAGTTTTAATTGCTATGACAGACAGATGTACTTATATCCAAACTATGATCTTGTATGCCAGTATTTCTGTCATGACTTTTTGTAACAGGAAAAACCACACTGTGATGTAGAAAATACCTATAAATGCCAACTGCTTTCTCTGTATCAGTCACTGTGAATATTTTTGGCGATCACACTTATAAGAGTTTTAATAGACACAGCTGAATCATTTTCATTTAAGAATATTATTACATAGTAGGGCCGAACAGGGCGAAGTTCTGTGTGGAGTTTGCATGTTCTCCCTGCATTCGCGTGGGTTTCCTCCAGGTGCTCCGGTTTCCCCCACAGTCCAAAGACATGCAGTACAGGTGAATTGGGTAAGCAAAATTGTTCGTAGTTGTATGAGTGTGTGTGTGAATGTGTGTGGATGTTTCCCAGAGATGGGTTGCGGCTGGAAGGGCATCCGCTGCGTAAAAAAACTTGCAGGATAAGTTGACTGTTCATTCCACTGTGTCGACCCCGAATTAATAAAGAGACAAAGCCGACAAGAAAATGAATGAATGAACAATATCTAGTTTGAGCATCAATATCAAAATTGTGTGTATCTGCAATTGTCACATCGCTATATTAGATTATTAAAGATTAAAAGACAAAAATATGATTAAATATTACTTGACCGTGCTATTTTACACTTGATTGATTGTTGAATTTTTGTACACGCGGACACTCTCAGATTGGAGTTCTTAGTCTTGTGTGCCATTTATGCCATTTACTAGTCTAATCTAGTGATCAGACAACCATAGAAAGAAATGTATTTCATTTGAACAACTCTCCAGTGAAAAGTGCATCCGCTACACTCCCCAGAAAACCATAAAGCACTGTTTATTTAACTTTTATTTGTGCATGTTATATTGTAATTTATTATACAGTAATTTATGTATTTGCAGATCATCCCAGTCGATCTAAATTCATGAAATCTTTCCAAATAGAACTATGCAAATTACCTAGTGAAATTATACTCTTATTGCAATATATATCGCAGCAAAACAAAATACCACTATGTCAGATTTTTTCCAATATCGTGCAGCTCTATAGCACGGGTGTTGTAATCGAGACCGCAATCTTTAAACTATTACTCATGAAGTTCTACATCTCATCTCGGAGTTGTTACGTAAGTCTCGACCTGAATTCTACACAACATACATGCTACTCAATGGCGACATCGGTGCACTAGTCAAAACAGTTCAAGTGCAGACTGGTATTTAACCCCAAACGACTTCAAACAAATGAACCAAAACAAAACACAAAAACCAGCAATCACAGGATTCATGTTAGCCCATACCTGTACATCTATTATTATACACCAGTTTGTTCCTGTTGAGTCAAGCACTGTTTGGTCATTTCTTGGGAGGTGCTGCTTTATACGTGCTATGTATGTGGCTGAAGTGTGAGTCAAATGACTGTTTCCCTCCTGAAGGGAATGCGTCATTGTGGCTAATAAAACTGGACAGGACCTGTTTCACGCTGCACCTTCCTTACAGCTCATTGCCCACTCAACTTCAACATTTTACTTACATAATGTGACTATAACTGGCTTTTCAATCACTATGACACAGGACCTGTAATACATAAAAAGTAAGAAACTAAGAACATATTTTAAAAGTGTACATGTATATAGCTTTAAATAGCTTTTTTGTCATTATCTCATTGTTTTTTGTTGTGTTTTTATATTTTTATACACTACCTACCGAAAGTTGTGTCGCCTATCCAAGTTTTAGGTACAACAAATAATAACTTGACTTCTAGTTGATCACTTTGTATCAGAAGTGGCTTATATGAAAGACAAATGCCTCTAGATTACACTTATTTTACCAAAATAAAATATCATCATGGCTTAATTTTGAATGATTTACTTAGGACAGTAAGGTCTGACTTTGCTGAGACAAAAGTCTTGTCACCTAACAGAAATAATGTACAGTATAGAATATAAAGTCATGGTGCAGTGAAAAAAGAACTAATATTGTGTATGTCTCCCATGAGCCTGGACGACTGCATCCATACTGTACATCACTGCAACGACTCAAAGAACTTATTAATAAAGCCATGTTTAATGGCAAAGACAGCGTTCTTGCAGGACTCCCAGAGTTAATCAAGATTCTTTGGATTCATCTTCAATGCCTCCTTCTTCATCTAACTCCCGACCTGCTCAATAACATTCATGTCTGGTGACTGGGCTGGCCAATCCTGGAGCACCTTGACCTTCTTAGCTTTTATGAACTTTGATGTGGAGGCTGAAGTATGAGAAGGAGCGCTATCCTGCTGAAGAATTTGCCCTCTCCTGTGGTTTGTAATGTAATGGGCAGCACAAATGTCTGTTGATGTCGCCATACACCCTGCAGACCTCTCGAACGCCCCCATACTGAATGTAACACCAAACCATGATTTTTCTTTCACCAAACTTGACAAATTTCTATGAGAATCTTGGGTCCATGGTTTCAATAGGTCTTCTGCAGTATATGTGATGATTGGGATGCAGTTCAAGAGATGATTCAGCAGAAAAATCTACTTTCTGCCACTGTTCCAAATGATCAACTGGGATTGATGACGACTTTTGTCAGGTAGTGTACAAGATATTGTATTTTTGTGTTATTTTGCTTTGTTTCTATTTTCAGATGTTAATTTTTAACATTATGTCAAGAGTTTACAGAAAAAAGCAAATAAACCTGCAAACACATAAATAAACAACTTTATGTGTTGTATGGGCATGGGATGATTTACTTTTTCAAGGTATACTGCGGTTTGGAAAAGTCAAGGTTTTAAAATGGCTAACATTTTGTGCTATATCGTTCCTATGGTATATGTAAAAATTTTTATTTACTTTTTTTTTTTTTTTTTATGACAAGAGGATCTCCAGCAGCAGAAGTCAATGACTTATTTAAATTATTTTGCCTGACATGTTTACTGCTCCAAAACATAAATGTTTCTCGAAATCAAATATATTGTGTTCAAAGAGGAAAACAGTTTTTGTTTTTTACCCAGTAATTGAAAATGAATAGATTTTAGAGCAGTAATCACAATACCCTGACACCGTGATATTTTTTGGTGGTGTTTGACAGGGTGCAAAGAGAGATGCGTTGGAAAGGGGTGAGAGACGTATTTGAGGACTGGGATGGGGACGTGCAATTTCCGGGAGATTATCACTTGTTTGCGGGCATCCAGGAGTCTCTGTACATTTGCAAAAGACTCCCGGAACTTCCAGGAGACTTAGAATATCTGAAATGACCTTTCGCCCAACTCATAATTCTCTCTTCATATAGCCGTATGCCTATTACATATCCATAAAACACTGTGATATAGCCAAACTCGGATCGTATCGCTTTCTCACTAAAATCAATCCGCTCCAAAGTTCGTTACAATTGAGTCGAGACCACCTCATTCAGACGATCTCTGAGCGATTGTTTTGGTGTGGATCCGAGCACGATTGCTGGATTTACATATGCCAAACGAACCGCGCTAACTGGGCAAACAAGACAGGTTTAGAAACAAAAGTTTAGGTGTGAAAGCACCCTTATACCAGCCCATGACTTTTCATTCATTCATTCATTTTCTTGTATGCTT